CCAGGTGGATGAGGCAGACGATCAGCTTTGCCCTCAGGTTCACAGGGACGCTGTCTGGGACCTGGACGTCCACAATCTCTCCTGGAGGAGAACAAGCAAAGAAGTGACTTCACCCAAACCAGGTCGCTTCCTCTGGTGTTAATGCGGCTGAACCCAAAGGCGGTCCACGGAGGAAAACCGTACAGGTCCATTAGGACCGCTCTATAATAAACAGACCCACAGAGGACGGTGTCTGTCTGTCTTTATAGAACCAGAGATGTTACAGCAGCTGGTGTTAGCAGGCTCCACTGGACCAATGTTGCCAACGTAGCGCCTATGTAGCCAAATCTACAACATTTATTTCAGAAAAGCACAAAGCCCAAAATCTAGCGACTTCTTTCTGTGTTAATGGAGACTTTGGTGACATAAAAGCACCGAACTCTCTTCACCCGAGCGAGTGGATCATACGTCTGTTTCTCTGGTTTCTCAATATGCCTGCTTGTGCGTCCTCGTGAAACGTCATCAGCCTCAGCCCTAACATCGTTCCAATTCACTATAACAGCAGAGAGAACGGACAGAGTCCCTGGATGTCGCCCCCCCTCTTTACCCAGCATGCATCAGAGCAGACTTGTCCGTTCTTCAGACTAACATCTGTCCCAGCATGCACTGCGGCAGCAGCTGCTTCCAGGTAAGCGCTCACAGATCTCACAGTGTTAAGTTAAAAGTTATCTTTTCTGTTTCTGTTGTTCAATAAAAGTACGTTTTAACATCATTTGAGGCGAAAATATTATATAACGTCAGCCCGTATGGAGCTGCCGGGGCTAACGTCAGCCCGTATGGAGCTGCCGGGGCTAACGTCAGCCCGTATGGAGCGGCCGGGGCTAACGTCAGGCCGTATGGAGCGGCCGGGGCTAACGTCAGGCCGTATGGAGCGGCCGGGGCTAACGTCAGGCCGTATGGAGCGGCCGGGGCTAACGTCAGCCCGTATGGAGCGGCCGGGGCTAACGTCAGCCCGTATGGAGCGGCCGGGGCT